GCAACTGGCAAAGGCCAGCTGATTTTCCTCACAGTTCACCGGCAGTATGTTTGAAGTCTCTGTGCAAACAATACACCCACAGGACAGTCCAAGGCCCTCTGCAGAGGGTAACCAGCAATTACTCTGCGGGCTTCTGTCACTTTGATCTCTGGGTCGTGACCTTTGCTTTCTTGTGATCTTCAAAGCCCAGATTGTAGATTAGCTGGAGCATGCTAGCTGGGTTATGTAAGTCACAAGTTTTACAGCTCCTATTGGGTGGGAAATGGTGGCAGCCCAGGCGGCCACAGACAGTGGAGGGTCCCTCCCTCTCTCCCTAGGCTGAGTGCTACAGACGCTGGGCAGGCCCCAGCTTTGCTCCCTACCAGAGAACAAAGAAAGGGTGTCATGTTTTAAATAATTTAGATTTGCAAGGAACACAGAGAGACCTACTGCAGTGGAAGGAAGGAGGAGAGGCCAGCCAGAGACTGGAGTGGCAGGAGAGCGTGCACAACAGAGGCTTCAGTGACCGGGGACAGCTAAGAGCCCAGAAGCCCAGCCCGCTTATTGAAAAGTTGAAGTCCAGCACTTGTGGATCACTGTTGACTTTCAGGCCATTGCTGTTTCTGCAGAAAAAAGACTGCAAAGAAAGATAAGCAACAGACCTCTCTGAGAATCCAAGTTTCCCAGACTTGATTCGTTAGTCTGGCCAGTGATGAAGTCTACAGGAAGCCAGAAGGGTTTCTCAGTAGTACGGTAAGCTTTGCCTGGCCAGCCTGTCCCTGCTCATATCCTGAAGGCTGCTGTCACCTCCACTCAATATCCACCCCCAAACGGCAGCACTGCATCCCCACAGCAAAGCACAGGCAGGTCCAGGCTCCTACGACGATGTGGCCGGGGACACTGCTCAGCCACCAACTCTGCTGAGTAGCAAAGGGAACCCCAGGCACAGTTCAGCTCTTGCCCCAGCAGGCTAGGACTCTACTCAACAACTCTGTAGTATGTTCATGCTCATATAGAAATTTAATGAGCCCGTTTTACTGTGGGGATTTGTGCCAAAAAATTCAACAGGATACACAGGGGGTAAGCGAGAGAGCCAAAGGGGTGGGTGTGGGGGGAGAGGAGAAAAGACTCAGCAAAAACCTGAACATCTGTGATGCCATTTCCAATAGCTACATAAATCTAGTCACTTCCCATTTCTGGTCCAGTGGTTGGCCACAGCGTGACCTAAAACTGGGCTAACCTCTTTGAAATCAGCATCTCCCATGGAAATGAAACAAGAGACGCACTTGTTTTGATGTATGGCTGTGTGACATATTATAAATATTACATCACATAACTACAGAGGATGCCAATCAATAAGAAATTTTTTTAGACAGCACTAAATGAACCATGGGCTCTTGCTTCTGAATACACTCCTTTAAGGCTCCTACTATTGCTTAAATGATTAATAGAAGACATATTGTCAGAAAATGTACTTAAAGTGAAAAACAGTAAACTGTAGAAATATCATTCATTTTTTAAGCAATTTTCTAGTGAAAATGTCACATAAATTTACATAGAGACTCCACTATTAGGCTCTGGGTAACAGCTAGAAAGAAGGTAGACCTCATTCTTCGTGGATGAAAGGTTGGAAAAATATTTTACCAAAAGCAAAAAGAAAAAAGAGCAGCTGCATTGCTGTGTATAAACACAAATGCCACGGGAACTCTGAATTCAAAAGTCATATTGTGAAACCCTAAAATTTCTCAGGGGCAAATGAAGCAAACACTCCAGGATAATAAATTGAAGCTGCTTACAAACCATAGAATGGAACTGCGTCATGCATACATTTGTTGTTTTTTTTTTTCCCAAATACAAGGGTCAGTGCTTATCAAATGAACAATAAAGCATAAAAATAAATAAATAAATGAATAAAAAATGTAAACACGCTAGGGAACCAATCTACCATTCCACTGCACAATCATGCTACACACGGCAAATGTGTGAAAGTGTAACCAGGCAGACACACATTTCACATTCCCTCTGCTGTTCTGAGTTGCTGCTTCTCTCACAGTGCAAGCATCTTGCTGTTGTTGTGGGGGACAGGGATTTTCTAAGGTAATTTGGCATAGATGTGCTTTCGGGTGCACGCAAGCTCTAGGATTCAGCCCCATGCGGCAACCTGGTCATACGTGCACAAGTAAACCACCTTCCTGGCTCTTTCCCTCAAATCCTCACAGGGAAACAGGCCTCCGATGGGGAGGACAGGCTTGGAGGATGCCCAGGCTAGCCCATGAGATGGCTTGCTCCTGTAGAATCAAGCCCTCACCCAAGAATTGTGACCTACAACTAGGGTTTGGGTTGAGTCCAAATCACAGATCCCTGCTTGTTGGCTGCATTAACTGATATCCAAAAGGATCTGATTCCAAATGGATAATGGACATCTGAGGTACCAGGGATCCCTGCATCTACCCCAAAATGCCAAGCCTCTAAGTAAGAAAGTAATTTCAAATCACCTCCAGCATTTACCAAGCCTCGTTTTCCAATGTCCATCACTACATCAGGTGATGGTGAGCCTTCAAGAGACAACAAGACTCAGACCTTACCCACTGGAAGTATCTTCTGGATGTTGAAGTCTATGAAGTATGCAGAGAAATATACAGGACAGAATGTGTGTGATAGTAAAGGAGAAGCGGAACTGCTTGAGGAAAGAGTATTAGAACGCTAGAACCAAGTAACTATCACAGTCCCCACTAAATGCATTAAGATGCCTTGGATGATTCAGAGGCCGCTCAGGACCACTGATCCAGGAAATCCTCCCTGTGTTAAAGGTGCCACTGCTCAAGGTGGACCTCACACAAGGTCTTTCTATCTGGCCTTTTTCACTATGGTTCTTAGTATTTTTGCCAATGTGACTAGTTACAACAACAACAACAAACATACTAGCTTTTCTTTTCCTTTGACAAACTTGGAATTGAAAACGTCCCCATTCTCTCTTACTCTAGGGAGAAAAAAGCAGTAAGAATTTGCCTATAGACATGTTCACACATAACTTTTCGCTTTATAAGTGAATGATAAATAATGAATGTGGGGAAATAAGTGTATGGATACACACACACATATATGGATATGCACGTATCATATGTACATATATAAAATTTATTAGATCATTTACAGAATTAAACAATGAAGTCTGAAGAAAAAAGAAAACAAAAGAATTTCCCAATTTTGCTTTACTAAAAATTGTTATTGGGAGAGCTTTTGAGGGTTTGTTTGATGCTCCAAAACATACCTTAGGGGCCAGGGATATAGCTCATCAGTGTAGTGCCTGCCTGGCAAACATGAGGTCCTGAGTTCGATTTCTAGTACCCTCCACACACCAAAATACCATAAAATACGTTACTACAAGAAGAGAAAATATGTTTTAAGAGATGGCTTCACAACTGAAATCAGGCTATTAAATGGTTCAGAACTGTGAAGCATGTTCTAAAAGCAAATGAAGTTCTGAGTGATTAAGCAACTTAAAATATTGATTTAGAAATTTATATGTATTCACCGGCAGGACATTAACCATATTCCTGTTAACAGAATTCACATTCAAATCTATAGCATCACATCTCAAATGAAAATCATCATGGGGAGAGGTTTAATAACTTTTTTAAAGTAGGGTTAGAGTTTTGCTCTAAGATGGTTTAAAACTAGTTGAAGGCTCCTAAAAATCAGGTAACCTAGAGAGCAAATTGAAGATACAAAATTCTTCCATAAAAAGAAATATAACTGAATTCCTGTTGTATCCTTACTTACTTATATGTGTACTATATGTCTTTTTAATCAACAACATCCAATGGCCTTCAGTATTTCTTACAGCTTTACCTTTATACAAAATGAGTGCCCCAAATATATATACTCTCTTATGGATCACCACGTTTATTTTTATATGAGTTCCAAGATAATAAGTTCCTCTCAAAGCATTTTTCTCTTTTTTCACTGCCTCCACATCTATTTCCCTGACTTACCCCGTACTTTTTTATTTTCCCTGATTTTCTTTGTTTCATTCCCCCACTTCCCCTTCCCTATGTTCCTTTCTCCCTCTATCCCTCTCTCCTTCTTCTTTCTTTCCTGTCTTCCTTCTTTCCCTGTTTCCCTTCCTCTCTTCTTCTTTCCTTTCTTTCCCTCTTTCCTTCCTCCTTCACACTGATTCAGAGGATATGTTAATGACAGCCTATATCATAATTCAGAGAGGAACTGCACATGTGAAAAAATATTTGAAAATATTTATAGAACAACCATCAAGGAGGAGAGCACACACACATCAAAATGAGGAAGTAAATGAAAGTTCAGAAAAGTGGGTAAGATAAGACTCCTTGAGTGAGGTGAGTTTGGATGAGGGGTTTCAAGGCAGATGGTTTAGAAGGAGAGAAGAAAGAACAGCATTTTTACCTGGAGCCCATCCCATGCATGGACGGTGGGCACTGAAGCATAGCTTCATGGTGAAGAGGAATGGGCTTGTGGGGATTTCTCATGGGATTGTACAAGAGGTCCCTGAACTTTGGTAGAAAGAGGTCTCTTTCCAAAAAGTAACCCTGAGACAGACCACAGAAAGACTTTACAACATAGGTCAAGGCCTACCAAACAACAACCCAGGGGTCAAGTCTAACCTACTGTCTATTTTGTGAATAAAGTTTTATTGGGACAGAGCCAAGCCCATTCACTTACAAATCCTTCATGGCTAACTCTCACTGTAAGGGCAGAGCTGACACATCGTGATAGAGCCTGCATGACTTTCAAAACCTAAAATATTCATTATTTGGCTCTTTATTTACAAAGTTTGTCAACCTCTGACCTAGACCACTCAACAGCTTTTCATCTTTCTTGGGTTTTATGACCTCAAAAAGGGAGAGAATACCTTGAAGTTTCCAAAAGTGAGTTTAACATTGTCGCAGGAAGACCTTTGATACCAGGCATGGAGTAGGCAGCCCATAGTACAACACCATCCCCTCAAAATGATATATTTTCCTTTCTCCCACCATATGCACACTCACCTGTATCTCTTGTAGTCTTCCTCATCCTTTTCCAAGCTGACCAGCTCATTGGGACAGGCCACGTTACCCAGCAAGCTGAGGTACTCCAGAGCTGGTGTCGCTTCTGCCAGGTGATCAAGCAGACACTCCAAATCAGTGATGTGACAAAAGTTAAGGATCTTAGTCAGGGAAGACAAAAGGCTTAGAGAGGAGCCATAGACCACACGCGACAGGCACAGCCCAGCAGCCAAGGCATCTAGGGCACTCCTGTCTAGCACCTGAGCAAGGGCTGAATCAACTTAGCTGTGGGTGTAGGGCATTACTAGCTTTTCATCCGTACTGCTGGAAGCACACACTTTTCTCTGGACAGGAAAGGCAGAATCCACACTTGATGGAGAATAAATAAACTTTTTTTTTTTTTTACCCTCTTCTTTCCTCTGTAATTTTTAATTGTAAAAGGATAGATTCCCCATTGTGAAACATTTTCAGTGCAAATCCATAAAGTTTATTTTTGCTAGTAGTGAAAACTAGAAATTATTTCTCAAGGCCCCATTAAAAGTATCTTCTCCTTCTCTCTTAGTAGGAGGAATTTATCACTGAAACAAATGGGAATGGCCTGGATGTAAATAGGGATCGGCTGTCTCCTCTGGTCTGAGATCCTGCAGAGGGCCTAATGGAATGTTCAGTGACCTCACTGGTGCGAATAAAGCATTCAGTTGGGGAAAGAAAGAAAACAGAGATAGGAAGAAATAGCAACCTGAGTAAATTAGTATAGGTTTTGTCTACTGGACAGGTCAAAATGCATTTCCTGAGACTCTATCATAATCTAATATTCTATGAAGAAGAGAATAAAAGATAAAAGATGGAGATGGTGAGATTATCCATGAGCCATGTCTTACTGGGCTGCATTCTCCAATCAAGACAAACACTGAGATCACCAAACTAAACATGCAAGAATCATAGATACACGGAATCGTGGGTACTACAAAGGGTTTAACCATTTAGTTCTCATATCTCTTGCATATCTCATATCTCTTCTCATAACTCTTGCCTTAAGCTCCAAATATATAAACTCTTGAGTTGAGTCCCAGGCAAAGCACTGATTAGATAGGCCATGAGTGGAAGCCATGATTACCAGGAACATAGGATGAGATGAGTTATCCAATGCCAACACATAGAACTGAGTTCTTGCCAAGGAATGGCAGCAGAGTATAAATGGGCTAAGATATAAAGACAGATGCCACATAGAGGAGTCAAAGACTCAAAGTAGGTTCTAGAAATGACTTCCACTTAGACCTAGGAAAACAAAGTAGAGTCAAAGAAAAGAGTTGCTTTTACCTCAAGATATTATCTAGCCTTGGAATTTTACCCACATTTCCTTATACTTGGTTTTGCTTTGTCAGAGAAGACTGAACTACAAATTCAACCTTTGTCTGAATCCAGTCCCTAACATATCTCCCAAGGAGTCAACCCAAGATCGCACATTTCATTTATGACAACCATAATAGTTTCTCTCATTTCTGGGATTGAATCTTCCAATAAACTGTGTCCAGAGACCCAACTTAATCACTTGGGGTCATAGACAATAAAGCATTCTTCTCTTCTACATAATGGGCCTTAGGATATTGAAGCTGATATGTCTTCCCCTAGTCTTTCATTCTCTAAGCTATGCTTCTCCAAGATCTTTTCCTACAACACATTCTGCCTCCATCACATATAAGAATAAAAATCTGTTTCCTGGGTGGGAGTAAGAGGGAAACAAGAAGAAGCAGAAGAGAAGCAAAGCAGGGAAAAGACTCCCAAAACAGCCCACCCACCAATGGTCTCCATTTGCCAAAATCCTCCCATCTCCCTAAACAAAGAAAAGCAGACACTGAAGTTTTTAATCTTTCAAATCTTTTACAGATAACATCCAGGGGTGGCTACATGAAACTCTGGAGTGAGGATGATGGGAAGAGAAATCTATGTAGAAGAGGAGAAAGAAGGTCCTAGCAGGGAAGTATGGCCAGAAGTGCAGTGGGTAGGTAGCCAGGGATCAAAACACCAACATATTTCATCATGAAGACAGAATATAGTAAATGCTTTTTAAATTAAAGCTTAATGATCATACTAGTTAAGAAAAAACAATTAAATCTAGCCAGTTAAAATGACAGTGAATAATTCCTAGGAAAATTCAACTTTTCTAGCATATTCTATCTTTGTGTGCTTTGCAGTCATTGCTACATTGGGAAAAAAAAAGAAGAGAAAAAGTCAATAAAAAGGGTTCTGTCATCACTTTCCCAGTACTGTCCTAAATCCCAACCAGGGTAACATCAACAGGCCCTGCTCTTCAGAGTGTCTTCCCCTCAGTTTTTCAAAGTCCCCAACCATACCCAAGACTGGCCAAGGTCCAACAGTGTCATTTGTGGGATTATGCTGTGCCTAGACCTGAACCTATAGGCCTCAGTCCCAGGCATGGTTTCTCTGCTTCAGGTTTCATTCTAACCTTCTACCCTACACGTGGAAGCCATCAGACACTCCTAGGAGCATGAGTCCTCATGAGGAGCCTGAGGACTCACGCCTATCAGGTCATCATAATGTCTTAAGGCCAACCCTCACTCCAGGAGGGGCAGACAGGCAAGCTGGTGGTCAGCACAGTCTTTCTTCTGTGGGATTCCAAGGAACTGGGCTGTCAAAACAGGCCAACCATACTGATTTGGAATAATTCAAACTATTTATGTAGAAGAGGGGTTAAAATGACCTAGGGGAAGCTGTCTCTATTATGGATGGAAAGGTTGAAGTAAAACCTGTTTCCCTCTTAGGCTAACACTTTAAAGCTTTGCTTTTTCATTTACTGCATGAAAATAGGAATATGCAAGAATACAACTCAAAACCGCATCATTTTTAAGTTGAGGAAACATTGGGCAATTGATTTGGATTAAAGTTTCAGTCTTTTCTCAATAGCATGCTACCATCCGTCTAGGAAGCAGGCCTACTTCTTATGTGTTTCTTTATGCGTTTATTTCATATAAAGTTAGTAAGATTTATGTATAACGGGCTCCTTGCTTGTACAGCCCCTTCCAAGGTCTTGAGAAAGGCTCTACTAATATAATCACATGGTTATATATTTTTATAAAATTTGCAAAACTGGTTTGACCCCATTTGATTAAGATCACTGTCTCTCTCCATCACATTTCTCCTTGGGTCTCCTTGGCAACAAAAATGGCTATGGAAATCGTGGCGATCCAGCAAAGGGGAATTTTGTAGGAGTGAAAATTATGACTTAGTGGAGTATGACTGTGTGATTTACAGTTGTTTCTGTATCTTATTAAATTATTATTATAAAAGTACCAGTAAGAATGGCTTCCCACAATATTCTCACCAACCACCACATGGACACCAACATTCAAAGACCAACATAAAACTAATAATATAATGGTTAAGAAGCTCTTTACTTTGAAGAGTATTTAAGGTGTTGTTTACCCAAGCACATACCTTCATTTTGAAATGTTCTGAAATCTATTTTTTAATTTTAAAGAGAGTAGTAAATGAGAAACAAACAAAGAAATAGAACAGTAGTTCTTGCTTTGATTTGCTTATGTTTGAGATACTGGTATGCTGCTGAAATCTCATATAGCTCACATATGAAAGAAACATGTGAGATTTTTCTCCAAATCTAATAATGCTAACACTTTTACTAATAATGTAGTAATGAAATTACCAGTGAGTGGTTGTATTTCAATGTTTCACAGCTATCATGAAATACCTGAGATAACTAACTTATCAAGAGAAAAGGTGATTTTGGCTCACAGTTTTACAGGTTCAATCTGAGACTGGGTGGACCCATTGCTTTGGGACCTTAGTGGAGTGTGTATCAGAACAAACTGTTCATTTCATGAACCCAGAACCAAAAGGAGAGAAAAGAAGAAGCTTTGGTCTCACAATCTTTTTTGATGGCACACCCCTAACGACCAAAGGCCCCAAATCTCAAATATTGTGCCACTACCAAGAGTGGACCTACTTGAGACCACTCCCAAGGACCAAGTCACATAGCCCTTTGCAGGACACTTACCCAAACCACAGCAGTGGTGAAACAGAAACATTTCTGAACTATTAAAAAAAAAATCAATTTTCAATCAACCATGCTAAAAGAACTATTTTTCTGTTCTTGCTACAGAAAATCTGATAACACTTCATCATACAGTGAAGCTCTAAGGATATATGCTAGGGAAAAAAAATAGGAAAAAAATTCCAATACAGGCATACCCAGTATAAAAAGACTGCTTCTTTTCTAGGTGTTTTGACATCCATGGTACTTACCAACTTAAATTTTTTTTTCAGTTTGCTTTGATATATTTTTATTCCAAATAAACATCTTTTCTTACCAAGTTCTGTATTCGTAATTATGTAGTCCTTGTCTTTAAGAGGTCTCCCTCAAATTATATAGGGTTCACACCCTACAAAACTTGGATCTGCCCCTAAGCAGGAGGCCATGGGGGAGGTGAGCATCCAAATGCCCTGGTCATGAGATTTCTCGGGCAAAGGACCTGGGGGCCCCTAATAGTTTTAGCTATCTTGTTCCAATGAAGCCAAAGGTCTGCTTGGAGTCTGCTCTACTTAGGATATGTTGTGTAGCAGAAGCTTTATTGTTCTCAGCCTTTCAACAACCCCTAAAAGATAAAGCAGGCTGATCCAAATGGTGCCCCCGGATCCACACCAGACAGGAAGCCCCAGCACCTCCTCCCCACATGCTCTGGACCAGTCCTTCATCTCTGTGTTGATTCCACCACCAGAACATGAAACAGGAGAAGGAGTTTTAATTGGCTCCTCAGTCTCCTGGGTCAGTAAGGACAAACACAGCCCTGTCTTGCCTGATTGTGAGTTGAGATAGAACTTGTCACATTCCTTTTTGTCAAGTTGCATGGAAAATTAAGCAGAGGCAATCAGTGGAGGAAACTCGGTGTCTCTGGTTAACCAAGACCACAGCAGTAGCAATGGATTCGGGGCTTCTCCTAAGGGTCCCTTTTCTTCCTTTAAAAAAAAAAAAAAGTGAAGCTACCTGGCATGGTTTCAACTCTCTCCAGCTGGATTCCTGGCACACACCTGGTCTCCCTCATCAAGTCTTCTCCGGAGGACTTGGCGGCTAGATTTTTGTCAGCGTTGTCTACAGAAAGTTGCCATG